TTTTTAATATATAAATGAAAAATTTCTTCCCTCATCCAGTACAGAACCTTTGGACTTTCTATTGAGAATGCTGATCCTAAGCCACCCAGATCCAGAATGGACACTTGTGATTTAAAGTTGGGAAGGATACAGTCTGTCCAGGGGGTTCTAGAATTCCAGGTGATCAAAAATCTCATACAAAGCCCTTAATGACCTCAATCTTTCAATACCTAATGCTGCTGGGTGGAACAGATTTTTATCTAGGTAGATAGTTAGAGCGCAATCCTCTAGCTAAGTCTATAAATAAGTCTAAAGGCGTCAGAGCTGATGATAAAAGTAGGGGTAAAAAAACTTTCTTTAGATGTCCTTCTTTCTTCAAAGCCTCGGAGGAGGAATGTGCCACTCTCTGCTTGTCCATGATGAAATTAGCGACCCTGTCATTGAAGACCAGAGACCAGAAAGAGCCTAGAATCTGGTACCAAATGCCACTGAAGAGAATATATTTTACACAACATAAAAGGGTCCAACGTAAATTAGAAGAAATATGGGGAGCCTTCAAAAAGGTAGGTCAAACTTTTTCCTCAAGCAGATAATTACAGGCTGGGGGTGAGTAAATCTTATTAGCCTTTTCTAACTCGTCTCTTCTCATAAAATCCTGGTAAGAAGAAAGTCCTGCTCAACTCAGGAGTGGATAGCTGGGCTGAGAGGACAAGTCACTGCAGTCCCTTCAAGATGCCTGTGATCCTGCTGATGACCCCCATTTTCTAGCCTGTCTCACTCTTCCCCTCTGAAAGGCAGGTTAAGACAGACAGGCAGCCATCTTGGAGCTCCAGACCTGAAGAGTCAAATGACTTGCTGAGGCTTGGGTCTTCCTCACTTTCTGAAGAGCTAACCCTTTCAGGCAGCAATTTTCTGGTCAAATTGCTCTTGCAGAGTTTGAGACCTTAAAATTAATGAAGCTGTTAACATTTCTTAAAATGTCTTTCACAGCAGTTGAAAGGTGTGGATTGATCACCCACGGGCCTGATGGCCTCTTGAGTTCATAGAGAGACATGTGGGCTGAGGTCCTCACAAACTTACTTAAAAGGATTGAAATTGTGGCCTTCATTCTACCTTCAACTTGCTCTGTAATAAGCCTTAAACTCTTGGCTTCTGTGGTCAGCCTTCATAGGTACTCTTGTTAGGTAGTTAGAACATGGAAAGAGTGAGTCTCAAGTCACTTTAGGTATGGCCTGTCTAAGCAGGAGACAAGCCAACCACCCAAATAAGGAATTTTCTGAAAAGAGGGGTCGGGAAAAATGAAGATTATTTGCAAGAGGGTAGAGGAGTCCTGGTGTGGTGCTATAGGATAAAGTGCTGGATTACAAGGTCAGTTTGCACCACAGGATCGGTGGTTCAATTTACCAGTCACTCCTCAGAAATCCTATACAGAGTGAGTGGCTGTGAGTTGGAACCGACTTGATGGCACTTAACAACAAAAAGAGAGTGAAAGAAAGAAGATACTATTGTAATGAGAAATAAAATTAGTCAAGATAGACAGGTGAGAGGAGAAACCATTATAAGAAAAAGAAAGTGAATTGAAGATAAGCTGAAACCTGAAGAAATAGGATTCAAGGAAATGTATATGGACCAAAGGGGTTTATAAAGAAGTCAAATTGGACTAGGGCTCCACCTCCTTTCCTTCCATAAGCTAGGAATGCCAGTTTTTAATAAACCCCCAAATAAGTGTATCTTTCATTTCCCTAAGCCTAAGTCCTGGTGTGGTGCTGGGGGTTAATGTGCAGGACTGGAAGGTCAGTTTGAATGGCAAGGTCAGCAGTTCAAGCTCACCAGCTGCTCTTCAGAAACTCTATACAGGGTTACTATGAGTCAGAACCAACTAGACAGCACTTAACAACAACAACTTGCCTTTCTAACTTCTTTAGTACAGAGTAAGTGTATTATGCTTTCTCAATTCTTTGGAAGGAGTGTTAATACAGCTCCAGGGATGATATTTCAACTGTGACACTCTTGGTGATGTGGCCATGGGTTAGCTAATTCACAATGATTTCTCTGACCTATGAACGCTGAAAGATCCTGGGTAGTACAAATGATTTGCTCTCAAAAGTTGATGGTTTAAACCCACTTAGCCATGTTGCAGAAGAAAGGCCTGGAAATTTGCATATGTGAAATATAAGAAAACTCTATGAAGTACAAGTTTCCTTTGCAACACACAGAGTTGCCATGAGTTGAAAGAGGCTTGGATTTTTCGTTTTATGTGCTCTGAGAGGATGAGTGGGTGGTATACATTGCATACATCTTGGTATCACCCCCAACTTCTGGCTTAGGACCAGACACACAGAGGTTGAGAGGGGTCTTTTTGAATATCAGATTAATTCAATATGGTAGGAAGATGACCAGTTTCAGAAATTACCACCAAACTCAAAGAACACCAATCAAGAATCACCTCTTTCCTCCCTTGTTATTCAGTAGTGTTAATAGGGCTGGCGTTGGTACTCCTCTAGCATTTGCACCATATCTGGTCAATGCTTTGGGTCCTCCCCTCTGCTAAGAAGGGAAATCATGAGGAGGATTCGATTGTCACAGGAGAGTCTGAAGGAATTCCTGGAACTCATCCAGGTCTGTTCCTTGGCCCAGATAGCGCTTAACTCTACCCTCCTTTAGAGATAAATGCCCAGGGCCAAGCAGTGAGTAGCAGCTCAACACACTCAATGGGTTCTCCTTTCAAACCTCTTTCAGCATGTTCCCCTGGGAACAAATGACTTGCCTTTGTGGTATGCAGGAAGCTGTTGTTAATTGCTGTGGATTTAGTTCTCACTCATAGCAACACTATGGGGTTTTCAAAGAGCAGCTGGTGGGTTTGAACCACTGACCTTGCAGTTAAGAGGCCAGTGATTATCCTACAGACCCAGGCATGGAAGATGTTGCTCAGTGCTGTCTAGTCAGTTCTGAATCATGACGACCCTGTATAGGGTTTCACAGGAGCAGCTAGTGAGTTAGCAATCCATTGCTGATCCTACAGAGTCACTATAGAATTCTGATATTTCAGTGGGCCTGCCTTTTTTGTACATCCTGCATTTTATTAAAGTTGTCACCATGTGAAGATACTGAACGACTATGAGCGCCAACACAAGAATGTTATCCAAAGACCAGTTGTATCACAAATCTAGTTACAGAGCAATAAGAATACAGAGGACTGGATTTCAATTATTTATAGACACTTGCCCTTATGATAAGATGCCACTTAGTGTCTGACTTAAATCAAATCAAGAAGTAATTCTTATCTGGAATCTCCTAAGGGTTGTCTTTCGTCTTCTCCCACTGCTTAGGAGAAGCAGGGAACATCCCAGCACATCCTATAATACTAAACTTCCCTGACGTTCTTTATACATTCTATTTTTTGTTTGTTTGTTTGTTTAAGTTTGAAATAAAAAGGTACAGTGAATAAAAATGAAGACTTACTGTTTTATAGGTGACGGATGATTGGCTTCGGACCTGGAATTTTTGTATAATGTGTGGAAGACCTCTGTAAGGTGCATTTTAAGTAGCTAAAGCCCCAGGATAAAGACTAAGTAGCAGGAATAAGTAACTATGCCAGAGAGGAACCTAGAACTTAGTGCTGGGTCCAGTTCACAAATGCTTCACTGAATCCAGCCAGATGAGTGAGTTCCAGCCCTGGAGGCCTTCTGCATACATTCTTCATTCCACAATCTTTAAAACACCTTCCTTCCCACGTGCTGGGATAAAATGGTGAGTAAGCACTGCATCATCACCCCTACCCTCATGGAGTTCAAGAAAAAGAAAAATATTTTCCTGGAAACATAATCAGCTTTCTTCCAAGCCTGCTCTTTCCTGTGCAAAGGCCCAGCTCCTGTGAGCTATTGAGATGAAGATGTGACAATATGAAACTCTACACCATGTACAAGAAGCCCTGGTGGTGCCAAGGTTAAAAACTCAGCTCAACTGCTAACAAAAGGTCATTGGTTTGAACCCACCAGCAGTCCTGCAGACTTGGAGATCCATTCCCATTCAGATATATGGTTTCCAACCTGTTATATAAGGTCAAAATGAGTCGGAATTGCCTTGATGTTACACAACACCACCACCGTGTACATATAGCCTCTCACAATGCTCTCTGGTTTGGACCTAGCAGTCTAAGTAGACAAAGGCTGGAAGAAAAAGTACTCTTAAGGGGAAAAATTCTAAGCTTTGTAGTTTAGTAGCCTCTCTGTATGATCTTGTTAAGTTAAGTTTCTGACCTTCTCACTTCCAAGGTTGTTACAGAATGAAACCAACTAAAGTAATATCTAAGTGCCTTTAAGAATCTACCCAAACAGTTCCCACATTTGTAAAACGAGAATGAGAACAGACTTCCTTACTTGCAAGGTTGCTGGGGAGTTAAGCCAGCAAAAGCAATATCGATATTCCTTTAAGGAGCTACCCAAATATAAGGGAACCCTAGAAGACGTGTGACCCCCGAATAACAAATCTTTCTCAAGAGATCACGTCACCAGAATCACTTGTGGTTTAGAACCTAAATCTAGAAAGCTATAGTCAAAATGCACATATAACCATTGCATCTAATGATTGATAAGTTGTTGTGGTTGTTAAGTGCCATCCAATCAGCTGTGACCCTGAAAAGGTTTTCAAGGAGTGGCTGGTGGGTTTGAACAGCTGACTTTGCAGTGAGCAATCCAGTGCTTATCCTACAGCCATACCACACCAGAACTACAATGATTAAAAAGGGGAAACTGAAAATACCAAAGGCTGGGATATGGCGAACCCAAAGCCTCTGACTTCCTCTAGGATTCAGAAAAAACTGTAAGCCTGGATTGGCCCAGCATAGCTGGAGGGCTCGGAAAAGTTGGGGGCCACTGGGAGACAGACAACACAGGAAGACTTCCTCTGCATATAGGAGCTGAGGGATCCCAGGGAAGTCATGCTTCACTAACTCAAAACCCAGCTTCCTTAATTATGAGCAGGAGATGGCATATTGTAAATAACAACAAAAATACACTTACCATATCTGCTGCGGTGAGACAGGAAAGGGAATGAATCTTTCATTATCCAGGTCAGATTCCATGCAAACGAATCAGGAGGAGGTGAAGGCATGCTTCTTGGTGACTCTAATGATCTGTGACCTGGACATAGACACAAAGAAGAGAATCCTGATCAATATACTTAGACTGTGTCCTTTAGCTGTCCCCCAATATTGCTTATAAAGAAAGTCTACATGGGTCATTCATGATGCCCATTGAAGAGCTGAGGAAAATAAGATTCAGCCACTTATAGAATGAACAGACCTCAGGACCTTAATGAATATTTTCTATGAAGAGCAACCAGATCTAAGAAATTTCAATGCTGTGACCAATGGCCATGGTGAGGAACTCCGGAAGATGAACTAGAAACTAGGCTACATAAAGGGGTTGGTCTAATAGCTCTAGGAGTCCTAGTGTGGCACTGTGGGTTGATGGGCTGGACAGCAAGGTTGGTTTGAACTGCAAGTTTGGCTGTTCAAGCTCACCAGTTGCTCCTCAGAAACACTATACAAGGTTTCTATGAGTTGGAACTGACTCATCTGCACTAAACAACAACAGCTTTATCTATTCTGCCTGTAAGAATTTGCACAACTTTATAAAGAACTTCACTTCATCTTATCCAATCAATGCCTCATCTCTACTTTATGTAGATGACTTGTAACTTCATCTAATATTGTTTGCTTGGGTTTATTGCCTTATCAATGAGATGACTGAAATTGCACTCAGAAGTTATGAGTTCTTGACAATTATGTTACTTTCAGGGGGATGGAATGGTGGGAAGCTAGGTGAAGGGTTTTCCCATAGCCAAGAAGCCAGGGAACCTCAAATGATTAATGCTTCGTATTTGCATGTGTAAAAGAAGGGTAGAGAAAAAGCAACATTATTCCTCTCCTTAACAGTACCTCAAGTGGGTTTTGTGTGCTGAAACGTAATTACAATATATCTACAAATCAAATGAACACACACTGTATGCTCTTATGCAGTTCTCCTGAGAAAATCCCCAACTCAATCACAATTTGCTAATGTTTTATGGTAGGCAAAGCATTTTCTGTTAAAGATGGAAGGGTTTAAGAATCAGTTCTGTTTAGTAGATACATGTGTATCAAGACTGGGCGCAAGGAGGGGGTAAAAGGGAACTAGAATTTCTTCAGCTTCCATGAATCCCCTTGTGCTGAGCTTTTTAAAATATATATATATATATATATTGTGATTTGAATGATAATTTACAGAGAAAATTGGTTTTCCTTCAACAATCTTACACATTTTGTTCTGTGGCATTGATTGTAATCCCAACCATGTCAGCCCACTCTCTCCACTTGGCTCCTGTATTTACTGTTTCCATTCTTCCTTTGTTATCCCTTCTTGCCTTCTGAGCATTATCGCTGGCTGTACTGGATTTTTATCCACACAACTGCTTTTGGTATTCACAATGACTTGCTAAGATAGGTATTATTATTGCCACTATACCAAGTCCTGGGGTGGCACTATGGGATAAAGCACTGGACCAGAAGGTCGGTTTGGAACACAAGGTCAGCAGTTCAAACTCACTAGCTGCTCCTTGGAAACCCTATATAGTGTTGCTATGAGTCAAAACCAACTCGAAGGCACTTAACAACAGCAACAACAACAACAACAACTGTACCAATGCAACAACTAAGACTTCAGATGGGCAAATGATGAAGCCAGAAATTGAAACCAGTTTTGCTTCACTCCCAAATGCCACATTCTTCAATGTGTAGGATGCTTTACTACTTTTATGGAGTAACCAGTTGCCAGGGAGTCGATTCAACTCATGGAAACCTCATGTGTGTCAGAGTATAACTGTGATCCATGGGGTTTTCAATGGCTGATTGCTCAGAAGTAGATCTCCAGGTCTTTCTTCTGAGACATTTTTGGATGGACTGCAACCTCCAAACTTAAGGTTAGCAGTTGAGTGTTTCATCATTTATATCTACTAAGGATTCTTTTCCTACTCTAAGAGTACTGTTAAATCACTAGGTGCGACTTCATGAAGAAGGAAGTAGAGGAAGAAGAAGAAAGCCCAGCAGCTGCAAAACCCCTTTTCCTACTATCTGCATTGCGGTTTCTTCCATATCGCCCCAGGAACTTGCTCCTCTAGGCCCCCTGTTTTCCTGCTTCCAATACCCTATCAGTGTCCATTCCCCATCACACATTGTCAGAAGTAACTCGCTGCCCAGGGTAGCCATGGCTGCCTTTTGTTTCCAGACCCTGGCATCCAGGGTTGCTACATGTGGGTAGGTGATCACAGGCTTCTACAACTGGAGCAGGATGGAATTCTACCATCTGCTTTCTAAAAGGAATCTTCTTACCTCTGCTTTCCAAAGATTTCAGTTGAAAGTGGTGTCTCCTGGCACCTAGATCTTTTTTTTTCAAGTTTTCTCCCCGACCTGTCTAAAGGTTTGGTGCTCACATCCTTCTTATCAGTAGCATTTCTAGCAAATGGCTGAGATAAAATGATGAGCTGAACACTGCCAGGAGCTATGCTTGTAACACTAGTGACTTCTAGAGAAGTCATTGCATTCATCCTTATGTCAACTTTGAAAGGTAGACTGTTCTTGTTAAGTGCCAACAACTAATAGTGACCTTCCATAGGATTTCCAAGGAGTATCTAGTGAAGTTAAACCTCTGACCCTGAAGTTTAAACTGACCTTGTTGTCCAGCACATTAATCCACAGCACCACACCAGGACTCTGAAAGGTGGCTAGTACTAGCCTAGTTTTATAGAAGGGCAGTAGGGATGGATCTGAGATAAAGCCCACAGTCACACAGGACCACGGTTGATATATTAGACTTATTTTTTTCATTAACAACATGTACTGAACACATATGGGCCAGGCACAATGCTACTATGTACATTAAATGTATAACTTCGTATATGTCAAACAATGAGCTATATGATCATTTGTCTTCACACCTTCCTTGGTTGAGACCACACTGCCTTTAAACAGGAAATGACCGAGACAACAAACCAGGTCAGTCTATCAGTAATGCCCACACTCTTTCACAGCCATACACAAATCCCCATGGATTAGGGCCTATTGGTCATGAGCTCTCTACAGGGCCTGGCAAGGCCCACACAGGGCAAGGGGGCGAGGGGTGTAGGTCACTACTAATGATGTTCCAGAGTATGGCATCATGTGACAGGACTGGGAGGAGTCTAACAATCAGCCTTTGTAATACTCCATTGTGAATATAAACTGACATCTCTGAGTCATCAGCTTAGCACAACATCTACAAAAGTTATTATCAGTTATTCAATAAGAAGAGTGTAGAGGGAGCCAACATTCTGATCACATCTACCTAGAGGCAAGCAGAAAGCATAAAAAAATACCAAAACACAAACTCAATTAAGTATTAAGGTCACAGATAAACACTAAACATGTCCCAGAAGCAAAAGCAGATGACCATATCAGCACATGTCGAGAAACAAGATAAAATGTCTGAGACAAATGACCTAGAGGTAGACCTGGACTCCATTCTAGAAGGAAGGCATTCCTTGGAAATACCTGAGAAGGAATTCAGAAAAATGATTATAAAATACTTCAAAATACTTTACAATGGAGTTGAGAAAAATAAGGAAGAAGTCAGGAAAGCATTAGAGGAACAATCAAATAAGATAGCTATAAAATTGAAAACAATTAAAACTTAAAGAAAGAGGTTCAAATAATTAATGATAGAATATCAGAAATAGACAATACACTGAAAGGGCAAAGGAATAGAATAGAAGAGATTGAAGGCAGAACTAGTGAACTGTAGGACAAATTTCTCTATATCACTAAGACAGAAGAAAAAGCAGAAGAAAGGATTTAAAAAATCCAAAGAAGGTCTAAGATTCATGTTGGACAACATGAAGTGGAATAACAAGAATTAGAGGCATTCCAGAAAAGGAAGAATCACACAAGTCCATAGAAGAGATAGTTGAGGAGCATCTAGAAGAAAAATTTTCTAACATCCTGAAACGTGAAAAGATAAATATTCAAGAAGCTCAATGAACACCAGGAAGCATAGATCCCAAAAGAAAATCACCAAGACATATCATAACCAAGCTCTCCAAAATCAAGGATAAGGAAACAATCCTGAAAGCAGTTAGGGAAAAGAGAAGCATTACATACAAAGGCAAGCAAGTCAGATTAAGCTCAGATCTCTCAGCAGAAACCATGCAAGCAAGAAGGCAATGGGGAGACATATATAAAATCCTGAAAGCAAAAAAAAAACTGTCAACCAAGAATCCTTTATCCAGCAAAGCTATCAATCAAATATGATGGTGTAATCAAAACATTCCAGGATAAACAGAAGCTAAGGGATTTTTCCAAAGCCAACCCAGTACTACAAAACATCCTAAAGGGAGTTCTGTGGACAGAGAACCAACAAGAAGAGAAAACAACCATATGTGGCATATTGACATATGTGGCAGCACCTCCCAGAACTAAATCAACAGATGAAAGAGTTGAGAACAGAACAAAACTATGAGAAAAAATTAGAGGATCTGGGAGGTCAGTCTATGATCAAAACAATTACAATGTGAAAGAAGGTAAATACATAGGAACAGAGATCCAGATGGTGAGAAGGTCAGGTAGATTACAGGATAAAATAGACTGCACTAAATGGAGGGAAAAGTTAATGGAATATAAGATAAACCCAAGACATATTCACAAGGGCACCCACAGTTGCAGATGGTACCCATTTGGCCTGGTCTCGATGACTGGATGATCAGAGCTCAACTAGAAGAAGAGGGAAGTGGAAAAGAAGAGTAGTCTGGTACAATTAGATGAACTTGACCTACACCTATGGATGCAGTAGTTCAAAAGAGGGAACAAATCTTTACAGCAGGGATCATTCCCACCCCCTCCATACACAGAGTAGACAGGGTTGGGCAACTTGGACATTGGCTATCCAAAATGGGGGGTGGGGGGGTGGGAGCTACAAAGGCAAGAAGCGACTGGCTTACAAGCTTTCAAGAAGGAACCTAGATCCAAAGGGCATGGAGGAAGGTAGAATCTCCACTGAGTAGTATCCAATCTGTCTAGGTAGGACTGATTGAAGGAAATGTGGATAGGTCTCTTGTGATACAAGGGTGAATA